AAATTTCCAGTAAACAGCCTGTTAAATGAAAGTCTCCTGATTTTATGACATACAATAGAAAAAGTCTTTAGGCTTAGTTGTATAGTACTTCTTGGTACTACTGTTATCCACATATTTTTTTAAATTTTTGACAACTGGTACACAAGTCAAGAAAAATTTTACTGGAAAAATAAACATGAGGTTATTTATATTTAATTTCTCTATGACTAGTAGAGGTAGTAGCTTAAAAGCTACAACACCATCAGTAATTATTCAAAACTGGAAAAATGCATAAAGTCAAAACCACGAATCAACTTGTACAAAAAACAATGCTATTCATAAAGAGAAGTTTAAATGTGCTAATCATGTTTGTTCTAAACCTTTGGTATATATCACTGGTGACGATCAAGCAACTCCTCATTTTGTACATGAATATAATATTAATAATACAGTAATAATAATAATAATAAAAAAAAGTTAAAAAAATTCCTTAATATGTTAATTAGATTATATTTCTATAAAAACAAAGCTCACTACTGCATTTAGCAAAAAGGCATGCTATGAACTATAAATCACTTGTTCCTGATAATTATTCAGTTTTCACATATAATAAAAGAAATAGAAATATACAGTACAATAATAGTCTTTTCTTTGCAATAACTCTATAAGAATGTGAATAAAATAACTATAAATCTAAAGACTTATTCAAAGAAGAAATATATACAGTGGGGTATGCTATAACGAACGGATCCTACTACGAATATTCCTATAACGAACGGTTTTACCTATAAAATTGAGAATGCTATAACGAACGAAACTCCTACAACGAACATATAATTTTTTATTTTTTTTCTAATTTATTGTTTTATTATTACAAATATTAATGATATTCTTTATTTCAGGGGTTTAGATGCATATTTATGCACTTTTTTTACAATTTTTACAATTTTATATTATATTTTTCAGTGTTAAGTGGTTGTATTTGGGGGCCTGGAACGGATTAATCCTATAACAAACGAATGCTCTAACGAACAAGGTTCTAGAACCAATTAGATTCGTTATAGCATACCCCACTGTAGTTTAATGCATTATACATACTACAATATGATTTACTACGAACACAAAAAATATTTATGAACATACACTGTACATGGATCCTTATAAATGTAAATATCAGATGGATAAAACAAAGAGATAACAGTCCATGTCTTACTTTAATACAAACTTCAAGTTATAAAGTCACGTGACTGTTTATTCAATACAGCAGTACAGTATATCAGTACTAATTGTATTAATCGCTTTTATATTTACTCAACAGCAACAATGGATTAATTCTCATTATAAATTAATTTCCTTCTTCATATACCCATGTTGAGCATGAACACATCAAACACCAATGTAGAATGGTAGCTTTACCTATACAATACAAAGTAAAGCAAAATCAAGGGCACAATTTTCTTGAAAACACTTTTTGGATAAAAGAAGTTCCTCTTACAGAGACTGATCAATGCATGACTTTTTTTTATCTACAACAAAGATTACATCTGGATAAGTAATTCTAAATAAAACTAGAGCTCTATGATATCCTTCACATGCCATGCTGTGAATCCCACCAAGTGGATTGTGACCTTCAAGACCTTGATAGGGTAGTAATCTCAGGTCAATATCAAAACAATTAACAATACTCCTGTTTCCTGCTAGCATGACCTCTAGTCCAAGTTTATCACATGTGGCTGGGCAGCCTTTACAAAATGGTACCCTTCAGTGTGATGAACAGATACAAGCCCAAGATATATTGAGTCCCACAATACCACATGAGACATGAAAACAAGAGAGGGGGTATAAGTAGCTGCAAGTGGACAATACTCCTCAAGCATGCTCACAATATGAATTACCTTAAGAGCTTCAAGTTAATGGAAGAAATACCTATGATATCTTATCAGAAGAGTAAGGGAATTAATACATCCATAATGACTGTATACCTTTGAAAAAAAGACTACTAAGAGCAAGTTCTTAATTACCTAAAAAGATAGTATTCAGCCTGTTGCCATTATATATATATATATATATATATATATATATATATATATATATATATATATATATATATATATATATATATATATATATATTATATATATATATATATATATATATATATATATATATATATATATATATTATATATATATATATATATATATATATATATATATATATATATATATATATATATATATATATATATATATATATATATATATATATATATATATATATATATATATATATACAGCAGTTTCACTTTCACTTTATGCAGTGCATCTACTCATATCGCGAAGCAGCGGGCAGGATCGACAAGGTCGCCCAGTCATCAAAACATTACGAGTTCTTTACCCGCCACCCACCACAGCCGGCTAAGTCAGTGATGGTGAGGGATATGGACTTTGAGGGGTTTGACAAAGAGGCCCTGCAAGCTATGTGGTGGATAGTGATACAATTGATACAAAGTGATACAGGTGAGGGCCAATAATCTGCCTCTGCCTCAGAACCAACCCCCATCCCTGTGCCCAGCCATCTTTCCTCTAGTTTAAGTGTTAAAAACCTAATATTATTGATATTTCTCTTAATTATTAATTGTGTGCATACCATCATAAAATTAAGATGTAATTTTTTCTAACGTACTGTAGGTATTGTGTCTGAAAAAGTGGAGTTTGGGGTTTCGGGCCAGTCTCTATTGGATTAATCCCATATGTTCTGTTGTTCACTTTCACCTGTTTTCACTCGCGGCACCCCATGGGTTCAATTGACCCCAGTAAATGGGTACTACTGTATGTATATAATATATATATATATATATATATATATATATATATATATATATATATATATATATATATATATATATATATATATATATATATATATATATATATATATATATATATATATATATATATATATATATATATATATATATATATATATATTATTCACTACACTTGTGCCAAATTTAATAAAAATAATTTTCAGTGGTAAGAGTGGTAATAGCAAAATTACTAAAAATAAATAAAAAAATTTCTAAACTTGAGTCAAGTCTGAAAAAATATCTTAAAAGCTCTTTTTTATTTTGTGAAAAAAGACGTGATGGAAAAGTAAGTGGAGAAAAAGAAGGCAAAAATCACCCCCTCCCCCACCCTCCTTAATAAAACCAATAAGATATATATAGTTTAAGTGAAATTATGATTTTTTAATTAAATTCCAATATGTAGCACATCTAGTTCACAATTCTCAGGCCAAAACATATACCCTGTACTGTACTGTACTGTATAGTACTAGCAAAATATGGTCATTGCCAACAATTCACAACATTTTACAGCATTAACAAGGGGAAGTACCTTAAAGGTGAATAATCTCTATAATTTCTGAACATTACAGTCAGGAAACTTACAAAAGATATATGGCTCCACAAATGGTATAAAATATGCCCTGAAAACATAAATAATTTTTTCTGTTGGCGAAAGTATCAAATGTTCTAATAAAATCTATGGGGGGGGGGGGTATGAAGCCACTGATACATATATTTCAGTATATCAAGGGACCTGTCTAGCATGCAAATGAAGTGCACAAAAATAAATAAGACTGTGAATTCGAGAGCCATAACCTTGGAAGCATAAAAGCTGAAAATGCCAAATCAAACATTTGGGAAATACTATCTTAAAACTTGAAAAGAACTGATCAAAGTAAAATAAGTTATTGAATGGAAGCTATGACTTTAATGAGAAACATGGTTTAACACTGGAATCATAAAGTTAAAATCATCAAAATCAAACTTGGCCTCAAGATTCTGAATAAAGATGCAGAGAGCAGGATATTTCAATTCTTGAGATTAGGATTTCTTAGCCTTACATCTTTTGATTATATGCAAAAAACAAAATCTTTAAAACAATGCAAATAAACAAAATCTATGTGGATCTGCAAGCCCTTATATAATAAAAAGCCATGAAGGCACTTGTTCTGAGAAAAGAAACTGTACTAGAAAAAGTCTTCATTCATCATTACACCTGACTGAACAGGGATAATCAAGTGATATTAATAGGAGTTAATGCAGCCACTTATTCCCTTTTAATATATTTTCCTCTGAGATACATTATCCAGCCATTGCCTATGTAACAGTTGAGAGGTATTTGTTATAACAAGATCAGCAGCAAGAAAGAAAATGTGAAAAACACTTGTATTCCACTATACTGTATAATTATATTTTTCAAAATGATATTTATTCTTTTTAATCATCTTTCTCTGTTATAGGTATTTTTGTTATGATTATTTGTATTCCTGTTGGAGAAGATATATCTTTATCAACATTTAGTTTTTATTGTACAATTTTAAGTGTCATTTTTGCTATTATTATATTACAAAAGCAAACATAACAATAATTTTCAGTTACAGTTTTGGTTCATAACTATTAAAGGTCAATAAATTAATTTTATTGAGAATTATATAATATTACAACCGGAACTATCAACACATTCTTCACTTTAAAAACTTCATGAACATAATGACAGAAGCGTCAAGTTACTGATTAAATATTGATGGGGAAATATCTTTAGATACTTTGTTATAAATAAAAGGAAGCAGACACATGTCAATGATTAATAGATAAGTTCCCTGTAAATGAATTCAGCAAAACTGTTGACAACCATTATAAAATAATAAGACTTACTAATGAAACAATTAGGCAAAGACATACACCCGAGAGATTGGCTAACAGCTAATCAATTAGGTCATCTCGTTATAGTAGGATGGCATTTTTCTTTTTTCAATTAAGAAAAGATAATCTAAACAATGCCTTGAGTGCTGTAGACAAGTTAGATGTAGTCAACAACAAGTTATAAAGTGCCAACTTTACCCAATTCTTCACTTGAATCTGATCAGTCCCCTGAGTTCAGAATGCAAAGTCTTTACATTAAAGTTGCAACTACATTTATTCTAGGTGATAACTGACATTAAAATTACAGCTCTAAAGTCTTCATTTATTTTTATTAGTGATATACAGAAAGAAAAGAAAAGAAAAAAGAAAAGAAAGAAAAAAATTTTTTTTATGTTACTTAGCACTAACTTGGAAATGAGCCATAGCGCAATCTCAACACAGCATCTGCATCACATATGTATTTGCCTGCGGATGGAAAGATTATTTAATTAATATTTACTGTAAGTTGTCAAAGAGTTGATAATTCAAAACAGAGTTGTGGAATATAGAAACATGAAAGATTAATATTGAAATCTTGTTTTATGACCACCAAGCTCACACTATGAGACTTGCATAACAAAGCATCAAATCCACAGGATGCACACCTAGGTACAGCACCAGAGCTGGATTAAGGCTCTCGTGGGCCTGGGGCTAATTAATTACAGAGAGCCTAACTCAGACTACAGTCAACCCTCACTTTACGCGGTCTCACATTCCGCGTTTCCACGTTTACGCGGTGCCCTGCCAGAACCCAGGATGCTCACATTCCGCGGTGGGTGTACCCCTTTACGCGGGTGAAGTATAATTTTCTTATTTAGCTCATAAAATTCATACAAATTATCCGGCCAGAATATAATTTACATTGCTGGAATTCTTACAATTTGATGATCATTTTGAATATAAACATCATAGATTTTGCATTAGACATACAAATTTTAGATATAATGTTTACTCTGAGTAAATATGTTATCTTTTGTGCAAAATATATGACATTTATATTCAAAATATTCCTGGTCTTACAAGGAATCCAGCAATGTCAATTATATTATCCTAACTTTAGTCTGATTTATTATTTATTACTACAAAGGTAAACAGTCTGGTATTCCCACACAGTTATCTGGTAGGGAGGGACCGGCGACCGACCACCTGGCATGTGTGAAGAATATTTTTTTTTTAATTAACTGAAGATATTTGTTTTAGCTCATAAAATTCATACAAATTACCCGGCCAGAATATAATTTACATTGCTGGAATTCTTACAATTTGATGATCATTTTGAATATAAACATCATATATTTTGCATTAGACATAAAATTTTTCGATATAATGTTTACTCTGAGTAAATATGTTATCTTTTGTGCAAAATATATGACATTTATATTCAAAATATTCCTGGTTTTACAAGGAATCCAGCAATGTCAATTATATTATCCTAACTTTAATCTGAGGTATTATTTAATACTAAATGTTAAAATCTAGTTTTTTCACCCACCCTTTCTCTTGAAGGGAGGGTTGGGACAGACTGACCATCTGGTTCGGTTGGAAGAGGGGGGGAGGCAAGGTGGGGTACTTTGATTGACAGATAGTGTCATGAAGAATATTTTTTTTTTTATTAACTGAAGATATTTGTTTTAGCTCATAAAATTCATACAAATTACCCGGCCAGAATATAATTTACATTGCTGGAATTCTTACAATTTGATGATCATTTTGAATATAAACATCATAGATTTTGCATTAGACATACAAATTTTAGATGGAATGTTTACTCTGAGTAAATATGTTATCTTTTGTGAAAAATATATGACATTTATATTCAAAATATTCCTGGTCTTACAAGGAATCCAGCAATGTCAATTATATTATCCTAACTTTAGTTTGAGGTATTATTTATTACTATACCTGGTTTTCCCCCCAAAATTTCTCAGAGAGGGAAGAGCCAAGTGTAGTGTGAGAAGAGAGGGAGTTGAGTCCATTATTTGAATGGACATTAACTTGGCGACTGTATTTCTCTTAAGTATTAATTGTGCGCATGTACCATCATAAAATTAAGATGTTATTTTTACTAGAACATAGGTATTGTGTTGGAAAAAGTGGAGTTTGGGGGTCAGCTGGTCTCTATTTCATTTAATCCCATATGTTATGTTATTCACTTTACGCGTTTCTCACTTTCCGCGGTACCCTGTGGGTTACATTAATCGCGTAAAGTGAGGGTTGACTGTATTTGTATAGGCTTGTAGTGGATTCCTCCCCTACAAACGCTTGTCGCTGAGTAGCCGACCCCGCGAATTCCCCAGTGTATGCCTCGTGGTCTAGGTCAACCAGCGCCGCCTTACATGACGGAGGTCAACTATTAAGCCACACCTACCTCCGCTATATAAGACCTCACCTCGTGGTGATCTATCTCTCTCTTTCGACCTACACCAACCAACAAGCAACACCTCCTCCTGCCTGGCGGCCCTCGCTCCTGCCGGCGAGCATGGCGACCCACAAGCTGGTCCTCCTCTGAGCATCCTCACCAACCAGCTCTCTCTACATCACGCTCGTAACCACGCTGCCACTTCCCAGCACCAAGCAGCACTGTACATCCAATACAATATGTATACAGAGAGCACATTGTGAGTTTCCTTTCTCCATCCCATCCTGAGTGAGAACCAAACATCACGTACCCCACAAATGGTGACCCCCGGAGATTCGCACTCACACAGGAAGGAGGAGAAACTGATCACTCTCCCAGTCTTCAAGCAACATGGAAGACTGGCTTATCCACACAGAAGCAGCTCTCATCGGCTCTACATCTACTGTCTCTACTTCGCACGTTAGACACCCTAGAGCAGCTCTACTACTCTAAGCAGACACCAGCTCCTCTTCCTGCCCCAAGCACCACGTCCTACCGACCCCAACACACCCGTCCTGCCTCAGACGCCGGCCCCGGCCAAGCAGTACCCCCTGCCGCTCCTCTTGACGCGGCCCCTGCTCCTGACGCGGACCCACACACCCCTCTTTTCTCCCTCAGGTACCCCCTGCTACTGTCCTGCACCCTGCTGCTGTCGTGGACCCTGCTGCTGTCATGCACCCTGCTGCTGTCATGGACACTCTTCCTAACGCAGCCCCTACTCCTGACCCAGGCCCACACACCCCAGCAGGCGCATCTGAGGACTCTGTACCTGTCGCGAGGGAAGCACAACATTCATCACCTCCACAACCCTCCTTCTCCCTCTTTTCTCCCACAGATCTCGTGTATCTAGACAGAGTTGCCCCCCTAGCGGCTGGCACATCCATGCCCTCGCCGTTATGTCCCACATGTGGCATGCACCGCCCGTTCTGCCTCACATGTGGCACACAACTCTGCCAACCTCCAGCCGCACCCGGAGGGAAGGGGGAGTATTGTAGTGGATTCCTCCCCTACAAACGCTTGTCGCTGAGTAGCCGACCCCGTGAATTCCCCAGTGTATGCCTCGTGGTCTAGGTCAACCAGCGCCGCCTTACATGACGGAGGTCAACTATTAAGCCACACCTACCTCCGCTATATAAGACCTGATCTCGTGGTGATCTATCTCTCTCTTTCGACCTACACCAACCAACAAGCAACACCTCCTCCTGCCTGGCGGCCCTCGCTCCCGCCGGCGAGCATGGCGACCCACAAGCTGGTCCTCCTCTGAGCATCCTCACCAACCAGCTCTCTCTACATCACGCTTGTAACCACGCTGCCACTTCCCAGCACCAAGCTGCACTGTACATCCAATACAATATGTATACAGAGAGCACATTGTGAGTTTCCTTTCTCCATCCCATCCTGAGTGTGAACCCAACAACCCGAACCCCACAGGCTAGAGTATAGAGGCTAATATGTATGTATGTATGTATGTATGTATGTATGTATGTATGTATGTATGCATGAATGTATATTATATATATATATGTACTGTATGTATGAATATATGCTTGTATGTATATTATGTATGTTGTATGTATATTATGTATGTACTCCATTTATATACATTATTTATTGAGCCTAGCTAGCAGCGTGTGGCAATGCCTTTTATCATGTCACCACACGTTTAGATAATGTGCCTGGCGACATATGGAAGCTGCTACATGTATCACTTGCCACTTGTCGCCTGAGAGGCCAGTTGACCCACAGAGAGAGTAGGGGAGTACCGTCTTGTTTGTACCTGTGCAGATCCAGCAAATAGAAACTACAAAGAACTCTACAGGTGTTTGTGTTCGCTCCTGTAGTTAGAACTGAGTACCCAGAACATGTACATGGCGCAGTGAGTTAATTGACTGGATCAGTGAAAGTGCTTTTGTAAAGTTTGTCTGTGGCAAGACCGGCTCATGAACTCCCCCGCTCCATCAACCGCCGTCTCCCCCAAGAACTTGTTTTGAATTTATTGCAAGTTTGAGAAGTGTTGCAGTGACAGCAAGTTTCTGTGAAGTGTTATAAGTGCCTTGTGTGTGCAGTGCTTTAAGTGTGTGACCTTTTTCTAAAGGATTCTCCAAGGTGGAAGGCTTGTACCGGGCATTTTTGAGGAGCAGCGTTCAGCGCACCCCCCTGGAGCGTGTCTCGAGGGTAACTGACTCGGTGCGCTCGCCCGCCTACACTGTTCCAGCCACACACCACCTGACGCACACACACACACACACACGCACAAACGGACAGACTGCAGTCATTTCTTTATATATATTTTATATATAATCTACTTTTCTGTGTATTTAATTAATTTTTTGTCTCAGATCTTGTTGATGCGACGGGCTGACCGGTCAACACCGATTTGAGATACAGTATACAGATTAAGTAATTATTTCTCGTGCCTTAAGCAGTGGTGTAGCTAACGTCCGGATGAGTCAGACGGATGACAGCTCTACAGAGATGGATGACCAGTCGGAGCGAGATGCTCCATCTCCCCCACCACATCTCAAAGTCCTTCACCTCGATCTTCAGCCTTGTCTTCAGAGATAATTGCTTTCATGAAGTTTATGAGTGATGAAAGGTACGAGGACGAATCTAGACGACGTGTTGAGGACGAAGAAAGGAGACGAGCAGAGGCAGACAGAGACCACCAACGGAAATTGGAAGATAGTTCACGGTTTGAAGCTTTGATATCTCGCCTTACTGCTAACCAAGCCCCTGGCTCTTCCACTGCTTCGGTATCGATTGGCTCAGGTACCTCGTCAACGCCTTCTTCACGCCCCCCAGCCCTACCCAAAGCGGCTGCCCAACCCCCACCCATCTTGAAGCCTGATGTGACTTTCCAGACTTTTCATGAATGGCAGCGACGGTGGATTGATTATGCTACAATGGTGGATCTCCAGAGCTTGTCAAAGCCTAAACAACTCATTCAGCTACGTATGTGCCTGTCTTTGGAAACGCAGTGTGTCTTGGAACATACGTTGCAGGTGCCCCTGACATCCTCGTTGTCTGT